AAAAATATAATAATAAATAAAATCTAAATATATTATCCGTCAAAATTTTAAGTTACTTAATAATTAGTATTTCTTTTCAATAAAAATAAAATATTCTGAATACTGCTGTAGTTGTAAGTATCTGCAGATAACAGGACCAAAGACGACTGTGCTCTCTGCTTAAAAAAGTGAAAAAGGATCTATTTACCAGATAACGTTGGTAAATTCATGCTGCATACAACTGCATTGATTATTCCCTTGAATCAAAGCCCTCAATTTCTCCCCAAAGACTCAAAGCATCAAACTTTTATCACAAAAAACAATTAAAGTGAAGAAATTGATCTGACTAAAAGCACGAAAAAAAAAAGAACACAAAAATTCTCTGGCTCTTTGATAGCATTTGATTGACTTTGAATTTCATAATTTCTATGAAATACTCTAAGCAAAGATCAAAACTACAACCTTTGCAAATTAGAACAAATTTAAGGACCTTGGAAAACCAAAATGGAATTTCCGTTTTCAGACCAAATTGGCCGCATCCGGCAAACCTTGCTGCATATCCTCATTTCTTCTCCTATGCTGCGGGGCCGCCGGCGTATCATTGGGTTTCGTCACGGCAACGGTGGCGCGGCAAACCGGACAATTCGGGTGATTGCTGAGCCACAAATTGATGCAGGTTGCGTGAAATGCGTGTTTGCAGGCGCTTAATTGTCTCACTTCTTCCCCGTCGACGAATACCGACAAGCAAACCGGGCACTCGATTCCAATTTCCTTCAAGTGAGACTCTTTCTGGTACTTAACGCCCGAAACTGGCTCCGGCACTCGATCGGCACCGGCCCCCGCTCCGCCACCTCCGCTGTTGTCAGTAGAGAACTCGTCGGAGCTCTGTTGGTCAGCCCGTCTTGAAGTCCAAGATGGGCATTTAACAGCGAAGAAAAAGGCGTAGATGAGCGCCGGGATGGTAACGACTGCCATTAGAGCGAGAATGAACTCGAGAGGGGATAAATCGACACTCCTCGAATCATCAGGGAACGCCGGCGGTGGCATGAGAAAGGAAGTATCGAAGAAAGGCCTCAATTGCGGGGACGGAGGACTAACTGTGTCGTTAATCGCGTTACCTAGAGGGGAGGGCGGCGGCACCGAAGGAAAAAAGGGAGGCGGTAACGGTTGCGGCGGCGGCGGCGGTGACCCGATCACAGCAGTGGCGTTCTCCATGGTGAAGAAAAGATTGTAATTCTTTTGCTCTTTTATTTTTATGGAGCAGGTTAGGGAGAAGGGGGGCACGAGGCGGTGGCTGTTAGTG